AAAGTTGGCGGGCTTGGAGAGGCGCTTCATGTCGAAGAACTCGCCGACAGGGCGCAGGTTGGCGAAGCGGCCGCTCAAACCGCCGGAACGCATGCTGTTGAAGCGCTCCTGCAGGCCGAGACGGTTCGTCAGGGCATCGATGGGGATCTGGATGCGAGCCATGGTGTCGGTGTTGGATGTGGAAAATGCGATTGATGCGCGTCGGTAAGGTGGAAGGCGTCGGTAGAGGAGGGTAGATGAAGATGCAGAATGTCAGGGGGAGACTTTTGTACGGTTTGTTGATCGTCACACAGGAAAAGACCGTGTTCTATATGAGCGGGTGCAGGTTAGCGGGATGCATGCACAGGGTGGATGGTATTGGTTTTGTAGGAAGAATGGTGGATTTGAAACATTTTGGGAGGTTCAGGCCATGTGTCTTTTCAGCTCCATTCCTCGTGGAATTAGCTTTCCTGACGCGCGGAACGGAACACGTACGCACCTTGGGGCGATGAGAGGTACCTAAGGGGCGGTAAAGGCTAAAGAAAGCTGCCTTGGGGGATGGGCAAGCGTGATGCTGCAGGCAGAATTTGGGTACCCAATGCGGTAGAAAGTTGGTGCTGACTAGGCAGAGGCTGAGCAAAGTCGATGAAGGCGTTTGGTGATGATGGTATTGTTGACGTTTGTCTCGTCGTGGTCGCGGTGGCTCGGTACTGAGGAACCGAAGGCGATCTTTTTTTTTCTCCCGTCAGCTTTTCTTTTTCCGTACTTGGTACCCAGGCAGGGAAAGTCTCGGTAGGTGCTGAGCAAGGCAGTGTGGGCTGGATCCGTAATCTCGTCAATTCAGTTCAGGGGTGGGGATTGGTGATTGGCACTAGAAAACCGTAAAACGGCACGGTTTCCCACACGTTTGGTTGGCGTGGGAGAGGAGAAAGGGGGCCCCTGTCCGGTCGTCCGTGTTCCCCGTCTTGGATCTTGAATTTTCGGGTTCGTCTCGTGGGAGTTGGGTAATGAGAAGGGATGAATGGATATATTGTTGTACATAGAGGCTGAGGCTGAGGGAGATGCATGCTCGAGCAAACGCTTGAGGAATTCGCTACCTTGGGCCGAATGCCAGACGAACCATGATGCGGGAAGGGAAGGTACCGGTAGGTATGTGAATCATGTGATCAAGGCAGGGGAACGAAAGGGAAGGAAAGGCCAAAGGGCAGCTGTAAGAGATGGAAGGAGGCCTAACTCCCCAAAAGCTGGAAGAGGAAGGCGACGAGGGAAACATGGGATGAAAATGAGAAAGAACGTAGCTTACCTCTTGCCAACTTTGTTGTGAATTGACCAATTCCTTCCCTCGAAACTCCCAGTGTTTTCACACGGAAACAACCCTTTGTCTGCTTCTTTCTCTTTCTTCCTGTTTGTCTTTCTTTCCTATCGTGACAATTCCCGTCGTTCGGTCGCGCGGGGGGCGAGCTGCGGGGCTCGCCCTCTCGTTGGTCGTTGGTTGACCTCTGTATTCCTTCCACGCTCGGAAAGAAACAAAAACGCTCAAAGGCTGTAGTGATGCATCTCCCGCTGGTCCTCCATCCGACTTTGTCAGTCAGAAGAAGAGGAAACACAACAGGTAAATGACAAGACGATAGGGAAGAGAAAGGGAAGAATCCGGCAAAGATCCGACCACCGAAGGGGATATGGGCAAGCTTAATGAAGGAAGCGGAGAGAGAGAGACAGCCAACTCAGCCCAAAGAGCTCTGACCGCCCCTCCATTAACCAAGGAAGACTTTTCTTTCTCGTCATGGTGTATCTGACTTTGGGCTGCAACTAACACTACTCCGTACACCGCACTCCGTACCCAAACCACCGCCTTGCTTTATGACACAACCGCCCGCTACTACTACCCATTACTTCCCTGGTTTCTATTTCCCGTCATTGATCCCCCCGCGAGTACGGACGCATCCGGACGGGGGAGCAAGACAGACGAGAAAGCTTGAGAACCACATCCGAGGATAGCTCAGAGCCCATAGGTAGCTTCAAGCTGGGGCGACACACAATCCTCAATCGGGCTCCATGGGATAGGACAGCGCGGCAGCTGGATCATGGAGGGGGACCCCTCTTGCATGCCTCTGGCAAGTCAGAGCCGGCCAAGTCGCATTCAAGGCTGTCAAGCCGGAGTGTGTTTCCACACCGCATGGTCGTCTGTCTCCAGACTCCGGTTTCTAGCAGCATCTTGTCTCTCTCCCAAGCACCCGCGCATCTAGGTATGGACCCGTCTCTCTGAGACCGAGACGGGAGTTTCTACTGAAAAGAATCTGGAGGCGGTGGGAGAAAGCAAAGGCTGGAAGCTCTGTTAGACTCCCCCTCCAAAACTAAAAGACAACCACCACTCGGTCGACGATCGCCCCAAGGACCAATGACGGACTAGCGGTACCTAACGATGGCGACCCAAGCGGCAGACCCCCAAGGAAACCCCCAGATGGCAAGAATGGCACTAATGTGAAGAAGAAGCAGCCATCGCCCGCTAAATCGTGACGTGAGGCCAATGAGCTGGAATGAAAGAAGGGATGACGGCCGAGCCAAAGCAGACTTTTTTTTTTCTCTTTCTTGCTCGTGGCTCTCTCTCTTCACCTTTCCTTACCTTCCATCAATTCCAGCCCGACCGCGCCACGCCCTTCGATGCCTGCGGCTTTTGTTGGTGTCTCAAGGCAAGCTCAGATATTGCCAGGCCCACGGTTCGCTCGCCAATGCGCCATCACCCTCACGTCCATCCATACCTACCTTGCGACGATCAACCTCCCGAGGCAGTTAGGAACATATTCCTGCGTAGGGTAGCGTGGGAAGCCGATAGATAGGCAAATGGCGTGCGCCAACGCAGTAATGCATTCATGCGGCAGCTCGAGGAAGAAGATCCGGGTCGGAGCTTCAAGCCTTGCAGCCCTCAGGTTGTATTCCGTGGCGCTGATTCTGGGAGTCCAAGGTAGAGTCACAGTTACCTACCCAAACGGCACAGCTTGTGTGGGTAACTCCCTGCTCGCTTAATGAGCTTGGGGCCTCTGGATTCAGAGCCTCGGGATGGAATACAAGTAGTCGCAATGCTCAAACGCTTTGTGGCATCGTGTATCCGTACGCTGCCGCGGTATCTGTGTTCGCCTGTTAGCCACCTTCCTTACCTACCTTATGCTCAACTGCTTGCTTCATCTTGTTCTGCCTAAGGTCCCGTCATTTCCTCCGATATTATTTGGGGTACGTACTCTGAGCAGCTTGCTACCTTAGGGTAATCACCACAAGCGCTTCACCAACTTGGAAGCTGCGAACTACCTCGCCCTAGGTAATCCTGGAATGGAAGGGAATGAGACACCTCTGGAAGAATCCGGAGCCCGAGACAATACGTATCATCTAACAGCACCTCAATCTTTCCTTCTTAGAATGCAAAAGAGTCCAATCGCAACATCTCTTCGTCACAGAAAATCCCGCGGCAAAGCATCCAATATTCCCATCTCTCGCTGAGGTATCCGTACAGAGCACAGTACCTTACCCACTAGGTAGTAGGTACACAGTCAGACAGTACTTGCTTCTTCCCTTACCGTCTCTCCCGCCCGCCGTCAGACTGTCTTGTCTCGCCGTGCCGCCGCCGGAGTCTCAATGACAGTTACAAACTTGGAACCCCAAGTCTTCGGCGTCCACATCATGATCAAAACATGAACAAATCATTTGCTTCGAAGGGTCAGGTTCCTCGCTCGCCCGCTCGCTCAACCGTCATCACATTCGCTCGTCACCAACAACATGAGCTGGGGGGTATATAATGAATCCCGAGATGCAACTGGACCGTCGAACCGTGAGGCGGTCTCCACCCCATCCCCACAAACTGTTGGAGCCCGCACCTCCTAGGCTCCCATGCTCGGTGATCATCACGAAATCTTGTCGAGCCCACTCGGGCCTGAGGCCAGGTCCTTGACTCAGGGTCTCGCATCGTCTACCATCCATGATTCAACTTCAACGCGGCGCAAGGTGAAGAAGCTCAGAAATGTAAGCAAATTGTGGCAGGTTAAGAGCTGATGATAGCTGTCAGCAGGAAACCCCGTTGAGATATTTATTCGGCTTGAGCTCATCGTATCGTCCGCAGGATCCGTCAATCACTCGCAGCATCGGGGCCCATCCCATTCGGACGGATACACTTCTCCCCCGCAGACACCTACCTCACCTCTTCCTTCGTACGAAAATATACGTGGACCTCTGAGGTGGAGGTGGGTGCTGCTGCCACCTACACAGTACTGCGTAAAGCCGTGTACTGCTGACAATACCTTACCTTCTTCACCTTCCCCTGACCTTGCACTTTGTTCGCACCAACGATCCTTTTCATGAAAGTTCCTTTCCAGCATCCGAACCAGAGCGCTACCAACGTCATCTCCCGCTGCCGCTCATCAAGTCGTTGCACCAATGCAGCCCTCTCGAACTCAGATTCCCAGACTCCTCCTATCACCGGACGGTGAATGCTCGAGGCTCAATGGAAGGCTCAAGCACTCGTCACTCTCGCCTCGTCTCATATGCTTCAAACAGACCCGTCTGTCGTCGTTGTTCATGTCGTCTATCGGAATGATGGACACGCACGTCCTTGATCCTGGTCGCCTCTTACACCCTCTAGGCTCTGCCCCTCCGATCCCAATCCTTTTTTTGAATTCGGATAATAAGTGACGGGGCAACTATTATTTATTACCATTTATCAAATCTATTCTCATCCCGGAGCAGCACACACACACACACACGCACACACTCACACTCTCTCATACTCACATGTACACACACTCCTCGCGCCTCTATCATACTCCTTACCCTGCCTTAGCATAGGGACGCATACCTAACCTTTACGGCTATAGTCCAGCAGCGAGACGAGACAGATGCAGGCTCGCCCGCTCATCCAACGCACGCTACATGCCGTGATTGCTCTTGCTACTGCTGCTGCTGCTGTTGCTGCTGCCGCCGCCGCAGTTCCATCACATCTCATCCCTCACTCCCGCCAAGTCACTTGGTGTGGGAGGCTAGGAGCCACACCCAGACATCCTGACACCCCCCTTTACCACCCCCTCCCTCTCCCCCAAGGCGCCCCGAAGGAATCCAAGAATTTCAAGGACAAGTCTCAAGAGACACTCCCCCCCTCCTGCTCGAGAACGAAATGGGCGAACCGTTCTTCCCGGGGATTGGGCAAACAGCGTTTTAAACCCCGCCACTCTCACCAGATGCGTTGCTACGAACAGGATACGTACCGTGACCTTTTGTAGCAGTTGTGTCGCTGTCGCATGAGCTGCTGTTGCTGTCCTGGTTGCTGTTGGCCGTTGTAACTTGTTCAAGTTGTTCCTACGGGTACTGCTGTTGATGTTGCTGCTACATGATGCCCCCTACCTTACCTTACGGATACCTTGGCTTGACTACCCGTATTACCCTGCTCTTACGGATCACCCAGAGCAGATATGGTACCTTTTCTCAACGCACCTTTAAAGCAATCTTGCAGTAGCAGTCGCAGTAGCATTTGCAGTCACAGTCACCCCCCAATAAGCGAAAGTACTTTTAGCTGTGCCGTACGAACGGCCGCCGTACCTGAACCAACCTGGGACCTTGCTCAACCTACCTAGTCTCTTTGGTCCCTTGGAATTGGCCCGATTGATCCTCATGCTCCTGCTGCTACAGCTGTTGTTGCTGTTGCTGTTGCTGCTGCCACTCCTGCTTTGCTTTGCCTCTCTTGCTCATTTTTTTTTCTCTCATTTTCCTTTTGACCATTGTAGGTAGGTACTAAGTTGGTTCGTTCTTCCCCTTGGTTTGGTTGGTCCGCCCGGGTTTCGAGCTGGTTGGTTTGCTGTGGTGTGTTGTGTTGCGGCTTGCCCTGGGAGGGAGGTAGGAGGGGAGGAGAGGAGAGGAGAGGAGAGGAGAAAAGCAATATTCATCTCCTGGTCCCCAAAGGAAGGAACGAACAAACAACCGAGCATTAAAGACCTTCCGTCCTGTTCGCAAACTCACTATTTTCATCCTTTCCCGTCGGGGGTTTGGAGGCCCAGTATGAAATGATCCCTACGTCCAACTTCTTCCCTCCTTCACCATCATCACCAACTACAACGGCACGCCAAAACCAAAACCAACCCATCCCAGCCTTCCCGTCCGTTCGTCTGTCTGCCTTTCCCATGACGGCTCCGCGATCCGTCTGAGTCTCACCTGACACGGACGACGATTGCTCTTTCTCTCTATCGCCGTACCGAATTACCCGTATCTCATCTTTCTTTCGCCGCGCACCCGCGGCCTATTATGTCTCTAGCCAAGCCCGAAGGTTTGTTCTCACTCCCTTTTTCTGCGTTCCCTGGGTTCAATTGATTGCTCTTGATTTTTCCTTCTTTTTGTTTGCATTATCTCGATTGCCGACGTCTGGATCGACTGTAGGCCTGCTACGAAACACGGGAAATTGGCCATACGAGGCGCGGCAGGATGAGAGAGGAGAGGACAGATTCGCCATGCCAGGATTACGGAGAGAGCAAGAGACACAACGCTGATTTATATCCCCGGGCAAAGAAACCACGTTCATGATGGCCCCTCCAACCGCCGCAAAAAGACCGCACGCCGCCGTGAGCAAAGGTAGCGCAAACATGTCTACCATCGAACCATGGTAAGTCTCAATTTGATGACAACAGCACAGCACCTCCGCCGCTCTTTTTTTCTCCCCGTTTACATCCATTGAGAGAGCATCCAAGAGAGCCCCCTCCATCTTCTCACCCGACAATTGAAGACATGCCGCGAGTTTTCTTTTACAGCTCTTTTCTCAATGCTGACCCTTTCTCGCGACTCAACCATAAAGGGCCGAGCTACCGTATCCCAACTTTGACTGCTCAAAGTACAATTACATATTGACCGACGACGGCGGGTTCTGGCAATTGCAACAACAGCATTCGCCCTCGGAAGAGCTCCCCAACGTTGTACCGCGCATCGCAACGAGCAAATCGCCCATACAAAAAGTCCAAGATATCGAATGGACCTGTCTATCGGCAGCATGTCCTTCGAAGCCATTCAAACGGAAAGTCGACCTCGACAAGCATTACAAACAGGCTCATGTCGATAGCCAAACCACGGCGCCTTCGCCCGCGCTCTCCCTAAAAGATATCACGCCCGCGACAAGCACCAGTAATCCAAGTCCCAAAATCACAACCAAGAAACCGCCAGCTGGCACCAGCAAGGCTAAGGGCAAAGCTGCGGGCGCAGGAGCGGCGGGGGCGACAGGGACGGCGACGGCGACGGCGACAGCGACAGCGGCGCAAGGGAACAGGAATAACAGCATAAACGGCGCGGGCAACAACAGCATCAGCAACAAGGACGGCACCGCCGGGGTCTTCCTCTGCGACTATCCGGCATGCAACCGCAAGAACGAACCGTTCAACCGCAAGGACCGGTTGCGCATCCACCTTACCGACGTCCACAAGGAGGACGTGAGCGCAAAGACGTTTGAGATGACGGTCGCGTGGCTGCAGGAGCGCAAGATCTATCCCAAGTGGTGGCGGTGTTCCAAATGCCTCGACAGAGTCAAGATCGAGGAGAGCGGGTGGTCATGTCCGCGGGACGGGTCCAAGGTGGAAGACATACGGCGCGAATTTCGTGAGAAGCAGCATAACATGTGAAAGACGCATCGCGGCGTCAGCATCGTCCTTTGTGTCTCACCGGATCGTTCATCGCATCCCACCCCCATCATCGCCATTTGCATCGCGTCGCCACACCAAGGGGGATCACAGGTTATTAAAATCGGAGTTCTTTTTTTCATCGCATTAAAAAGTTATCTTCCGGGGACGGAGGAACTGGCGTTTCTTTTCACATGTTCCAAGGCCCGGTTTGGGCCTGGTCCTATTCTATTCGATTAAGAGTGGGCGGGAAGTACTAAGATTGGGTTACGGTATTCTGGGAATCGCGGGAGTCTCTTCATTTCTTCGAGTTCATTTTCAGCCTTCCTGGCATTATTGCCTCTACTGGGCTTGTTGTCAGTAACTTGATTCCCCATCCATCTTCTAGGACAGATTTTGCTCCGTCTGGGTAGATAATTCTGGTGGCCTTTCTCCCTTTTCTTCATGCCATCCATGCTGGCACTCTATTAGGAATGATGACACGATTGGGTTTTTTTCCTTCTTTCTGCCCGCCTTCTTCCTGGGATAGGTACTGAACCCAATGATGAGAAAAACCTAGATGTTGTCAGATGGGAAGGGACCACCATTGTCGATCATTGACCCGGGCAGAATTCCACTTTGTTCGTAGGGTAGGCGAAAGGCAGTAAACCGGATGATTTTTCCAACTTTTTTTTTTCTTTCTTTCCCTCTTTCGAAAAAAGTTTCCGACGAGACGGGACCCCGCTGTTCATCTCGTCTCGTCTCATCATTCCATCCATCCCTTCGGCATCGCCTCGTTTTTCGCAGAGTTACTCGTTTACCTCTACGGAATATCCAGCAGGAGCCCACCTAGCACCAAGCTGCACTTGAGTTCTTGAACACCCCCCCCCCCCCGTTCGGCGCCGATCGCAAGCTGGTCAACGCTCCCGATCAAACCCCCCGGGATCCCGTGCATCGTATCCGTAGGAAACTCCACCCTTGAACCTACGGAGTAGAAAGCTTTTTTGTCAAGAGCTATATGCGCGCTGAAAGTTTCCCGGAGAAGACCGCTCGTCTTAATCCCCACGCGTGTGACGAAAACTCTACTTGTTCTCTCTCTCTCTCTCCCGAGCGAGCTGTCATTGCCAAATAGATTGCAGGAGAATGATGAAGCCGACCGGAAGGAAGGGAGGGCATGAAAACGGCCTGCAGGATTGGGGGCCGAGGGGTGTGTGGTGGCCTGATGTTTGAAAGGTACCTTACTTGTGTGTATGAAGTAGGGGCGCCCCGGTTATGTGTGAGCGTGTGAGTGGTGCTGCAGCTACATACGGCCTCCGAAATCTGGGTTGAATCCAAGCTGTGGTCCTGCCTGCGTCTCTCGGATTTTCTTTGGGTCTCCATCTTGATGCGTATGCTTGCTTGGCTTCTCCATGATTGGAGAGGAAATACAGGAGAGTGTGAGATCCGATGCCGCCCTTTTTTTTTTTTTTTTTTTTTTTTTTTTTTTTTTTGCGTGGTGTTGTGTTTTGTGTGTGTGTGGTGGTGGGGTTTGTGTTGTGTTGTGTGTGGGGTGGTGTGGTTGTGTGTTTGGGTGTGTGTTTTTGTTGTTTTTCTTTTTTTTTTTTTTTTTTTTTTTTTTTTTTTTTTTTTTTTTGGGGTGTTTTTTGTAAAGGGGAAGGGGGGGGGGGGGGGGGAAGGAGCGCCCTGCTTCTGCGGTCTTTTGAATTAGGTAGCGTCCCTTTACATTGTATCCCATCACCCTACTACGGAAATGTGAGGTTTTTTTTCCCAGTGCGCCTATTCTCCCACCCGTGATCAGGATTCCGAATTTTCCCCATCGTCCTGCGGTTTTGCTCTCCTTTCAACTTTCCCAGTTGGTTTCAACTTGGAAAGCGTTTGGAACTCGATTATGTGAGTGCAAAGGGGGGGGGGGGTTGCCTTTGTGGACTTCCTCCTCTTTTTTCCGTGTGTTCCTGCTTTCTCTGCTGTTCGGTGGTTTGGTCCCCCCTGTGCTGGTGCTGCTGGCACGAAAATCTCATTGTTGGTCGTCCGTGAGATTCACTTTACTCCGTGCTCCGTACACCGCGCATTTCGAGGTGTCCGCCCCCCCGGGTTAAGTGGACTCGAACCCTTCCCCGGGACGCCGATCGAGTCGGATCCCCCCTCTTACTAATCGAAAGGGCACCCTTTCAAGTCATTCGTGTGTGACACAATCCCGTAGCGCAACTTACACTACGGAGTAGAAGAAATAACAGGACTTGAAAGTTTTGAGATTGGACATGCAGAAGGGGAGGAAAACTTGGGGATAATTCCGTATACACGTAGGCAATTGAGACAATGAGATCTGCTCTGCAGGATCGACAGGTTTGTGGGGGGCCAGATACGGGTGCTCGTGTTCAGAAGGGCTGTAAAACATACAACCCGGGGACGATCCTGTTGATCTCCTCCGTCTCTGAACACGGAAGACGGACGCAGGAAAGGAAACAAAACATGGCATTTGGCAAAGTGTACAACTATGAGGCTAAGGCGCAGTCAGCTTAGAGAAGGACAGTTAGTTATGAGCTGCTCATATAGTGATTCCCTGCAGAGCCCACAGAATAATCAGGTGTGTAGAGTCCATTGGCATACGTCTGGCGAGGACTACACCTTGTGACCAT